GGCGCGCGCGGACAGATGACAGACGATCGATCGTGCCGCTGGGGACACGCCGCGCTGCGTGCATGGTGCATGCATGCATGGCTAGGGTTGATCAATCAGAGCCGAGGGCGGGAGATTGACGCAGGACATTTTCTCGATATCTTACTTATCTGGGTAGGTGGCCACCTGCCTGATTAAAATTTAAACCAGCGACGCCCGCCATGGCCAGTGGCCAGCTGATTAAACTAGCGACGCCGATGTATTTGGAGACAGGGGGAGACACCATGATGGTGGCTGCTTAGTTGTGATCGCGCAGTTAGGTTGTGGGTATTGATCGCCCTGTCTGATTGTCTCCCATGTTTCTATAGCCGGATTGGTACGTACCGCTCCGGACTCTGGTGCCCTGAGGCTGACGGAAGTCGTGGTGTTTGGACCATCATTGTGTCGTGAACATGGACCGCCTCTGCCGGCAAAGCTGTAGATGAGAATGAATGAATCATGTGTGCTCTTTGCGGCTTTGCCATGTTGCGTTGCGGTGGCCAGCTTCAGTTCAGTTCACCGGGTCGTGTGTGTGTTTTTTTTGTCTTGCACTTGCGCTGTGTACCGCGACGAATTAAGCAACAGTCGCATGATCAAGTGACCGGCACACCGACGGTGACAACGGAGAGGCCGCGACAGAGGGTAGAGGAGAAAATATCCATGTGTGCAGATTTATTACTCCGTACATGGTTTCTATTTGGCGACATCGATCGATGTAGTAGAGATATTTCGTTTCGTAGTAGTATCGGTTATCGAGCGTGTGCATGCTTTTGCTCCAAGTTTCGCTCCTGATTAAACTCCACGTTAAACCATGCATGTTATCAGCATGGGGGGTGCTACCCGCTGGACTTTATCAGGGGAGCTGTTTCAAGATCTAGCAGCAGATACATGCATGCATTAGTTTGTAAACTACAAAAACATCTTTTCCCCGCAAAAGCTTAGTGGTGTGATGCGTGCACAGTGCACATGACTCATGCATCCAAAAAGCTAGGTTGTTAGTTTGTAAACTACGTACAAAAACGTCTCTTCATCGCAAAAGATAATAGTAGTACTACAAACGTCTTTACAAAAACACAAAGATTGAAAGGCAGCGTTGCCAGTGATGACCTTGTCGAGCAAAGGGTCTACCGGCGCCGATAATGGCGAGCAAGGGCTGGTTTTGTAACATATTTCCTAAATCAGGACAGCCTTTTTGCCCTTGTCTTTCTCCCTGAAAACGGGATTAGTGGGTAAGTACGCCTACTTAAATGAAGCTAATCGCCTGCGCAATCCCCCGGTTAGCGCAAACATCGGTTTCGAAATACTACAAAATTGCGCTAAAAAGGTTCGCCGAGCTGGATCGGCAAGATCTTTGTTAAGGCAGAAACATTTTACTAATGAGGGAGAAAAACTCTAAATATTCTTGTGCTGAAGAGAGAGATATACTAATTGATGGTACTGCTTGTAGCTTGGATGCCCAACCTAATTCGTTGGCAGCGCCAGCGACCTTGATTTGAAGTGCACGATATATAGCAG